ATACAGGACGTTTCGCATTATATCTGGCATTATACCCGGCGAGGGACTTCAACTATGTGAAGCGTGCGCGAATCTCAACAGCGAGGATAAGCGATTCGATGCGAAGGGGGATGTTGGACTATACATTTTAAATGCGGATACGATACACTTTTTTTCTCTCTCGTTAGGCGCTTTTTTCGCCTGTTTCGTAAACACACATGGAGATACGTCTAATGGTGTACGTTTATGCCGCCTCACGTGCTCGCCTGTCATCGCCCGGTTGTACAAACGTTTCTGCTTATACCAAATGCTATTATACTTGCTTCACGCGCTGATTAATTGAGTTAGCGCGTGATTGTTAATCATAACTAACTATTGAGTTGGTTTACCATCATAGAAGTATTTTACATATTTTCAATATACATAATACATCGGATTATATTTTACATATTTTTTTACAGATTTAAATTTATCTACTGGAATCAAAATATGGATGGCACCTTTAAAGATCTCATGTTGTTTCCCTCACTGTGGCTATTGTTTTCTTTGGATCGTAGTAATTTATGGAAGACATAGGTGTTAAATAAATTGCTCATATTCCCATGGGCTAATCTATTATATGATAATCATGGCAGCTGTCCTAATCAGGAGTAAATGACACGAATAAGTAATCGACGTTCATTAATCTCGGTGGGTCCTCGTTTTGTGAACCAGATTCCCGCGGCGCGGTCGTATAGCGGATTCAACGTAGGTGACGGCAGACGACGGTGACATTTTCCTACGATCGTTACCGGAAGTTCATCAAGATGTGACAACGCTACCGTGAAACTCCCGCGCGCTCGTAAAATACTTTCCCAATTTAAATTTGAGCGCGACGATCCCCGGGAACTTTCCGGTTAACGAGCGGAACCCCGTAACTCAGACTGGCGATAAAATACTCTCCGTAATGATGGGACGTAATCGAGAATCACACGAGCTTTCATCTCGATATCCCGAAAATGCACTTTCAAAGAGATTTCGTCGAAGCTGAATCGATCGTTCCTCGGTGAAGTGTCAATTGGTCGTTTTTTCTCAAAACTTCAAAAGCTATTTGTCGCAACCTTTTAATTTTTGATATTTTTGCACTAATGTGCTATGAGAATATTGAAGAGTGCGTTAAAAATTTTTTTAATCGTTACCGTTGGTAATCTTCGCGTCGCGAGTGAAACTTTGAATTACTCGCGTACGATATAAAGCATGCTCATTTCGAATCTAAATTAATAATCTCGAGATTGAAGTGGCTACTTATCGCAGCGATAGGTGGTTTAAAAGTTGTATATCTCGATACTACCAGCTAACGTAACGTGATAGGTGGTACGCGGGAATAAAAGTTACGTAGCAGTAAATTAAGGAGATTTATACATCCCTCCGCGAGGTCGGATTTATCGCGCTTTATACTCTCCCAGCGGAGCTTAACTGATCGACAATGTCGAGCTTACTTGGCGAATATGTCGTACTCAGTATATACTTTCGAAAGATTTCGTATAATCGTCCTCGGAACTTGGTGGTTCTAAAGTCTGCTTTATCTGCGAGATAATGTACGGATTGTCGTATATAGTTTCCCTTCGTTCCGAGGAAGAATAGAAAGACAGAAAATGACGTTAAATAGCTATGAGATACCGTAGAATTCGTAAAGAGAAATTGAACTAACAGTAATGGGATTTAGTAATGAAATGGCACTGTATATTATACGATTATTATAGAATGTTGATTAGGATCTCTCAACTATTATGACATCACGACCATATCTATTGTTCATAATGTGAAGTACTTAATTTGAATTATTTTTAATCATTTCTATAGGTTGCCACTACTTCTATTCAATACATCATTAATTTATAATCAAAACAATGAAGTTAAATAATTTAAGTCAAGAAAATGTAAATTTCACTCAAATTTATTATTTGCTAAATACGTATGTTAATACGGACGTTGTTTACTTTGAATCTAATCATAGAAATGGATTGATTTATATTTTAATACAGAAGTTAAAAATAACAAAATATTTAACTTAAGGAATTATTAAATCAGTACTGCTTTTCTGATATCTAACAATGTACTCTTCGTGAAATTTATTTTGTACTTATAATTATTTTTACAGCTAAAGGATTGTAAAGTTATCCAACTCTCTGCGTTTCAATCCATGAGATAATATCGTATAGTTTTCATCGTTCTGAGGAAAGACGAGATAGGAGGATAAAGCGCGACATTAAACAGCTATTGTAGATATTCGATATCCGAATGAGAAGATTAAACTAACGATATCGAGATTAATTAAAGTCTAGAAGTGAGACTAGGTTATATCGAACAGAGAGATTATTAAATTTCCACTCAAATCATCCAATCGCACAAAAGAAAGGTACAATTTTTTGTAGTTGACAGAGCTTTTTTATTTTCTGACTTTATGTTTCACACAAAAAATTTGACATTTATTATTAACGTTTTATTAGATAATGACTATCCATTAACTTTTATTTTTGACACAGTTATCAACGTATAAAAAATTTACTTAAAAATAAATACATAGTACGTAAAGATTTGGTTGACAATGTCTGTGCGAATGAATCTGCATCTTGGTATCATTTATTCCTTTTCACACAGAAAAATTTAAACGGTTCAATAAAAACGACATCATGGTATCTTTTCATAGTTCTAATAAAATGGGTAAATAAATATCAAAGTACAAAAGGATATTTGTTCCTATACATCTAAGAGCAATGTAGTTTATAAGATTTCGTGTAATAATTGTGATACGTCGTACGTTGGATAGACAATTGAAAACCAGAATTACAGACCATCGTAATCATATTAGACGTAACACTTCTGTCCGTTCTGTCATAACGGAGCACAGGCTGCAGTATGATCATGATTTCCAATGGGACAATGTTAAAATTTTGGTTGAAGAGCCTTGCTATAGGAAACGCTTAATTTCTGAGATGCTCAATATTAAAAAGCAGAAAAATAATTTAAATTTACAAACTGACACAGAAGGTGTTTCCATAAGACATACTCGTATATACCTTTTGTAAATAAATTCGACTTTTCGATATTGACAGTCTGTCTCTTCTCTCAGTCCGTGTTGATCCGTATCAGCGAGCGTACATTATAATCGACATACAATGTCCGTCTTACACATCTGCGTTCCATTAAATTCTGTACGTAATTTTTTAATTGGTTTTCATACTTATATGGACACACTTGCTTGAATAATTTACACATGATTTTTCGTGAGTTTTAATTACTTGTTAGAATTCCGGTATGTTAATTTGATTGTGTTTATTTTTTCGTAGGAAGACTTTTCTTTATCTTTTTTATCAACTAGAACTTTTTCCAAGAGATATGGAACACATTTGACTGTTCAATCGTATGTGAATAATGTCAAGTTCTACATCAAGACTCACCCGAGCTGTTATTATAAGGAATATGCGGGCATTTTCGATAATTAATTTTGTACAGCGATTTTTGTGGTAAGTTATTGTCTGAAGAGGGCTCAATCCGGTAACCGGAAACGTGTAACGTTTTATATTTGAATTTAAACTGAGTTTTTATTATTATTTTTTTCAATTTTACTTTTCTTTATTTGTAACTTATTCTTTTTAATTGTGTGACAATTTAAAAAAAATGTGACTCTTACTTTGCCCTTTATTTAATGTTATTTATTTTATATCAAACGTTATATGATTATTACAAGAGAATGTTTTCAACATTATAATCGAATTTAATTGTGGCACCATCCGATATGATGTGTCATGAACCGCAGAAGCAGCAATTGAGTTTGGAACGTGTTCAAATTTGATTACATTAAGAGCTTCCGCTGCTCTCATTTATTCTCTGTATCTCTCTTTTGTTATTCATAGTTTCAAATTTCGTTGTAACACACTGCGATATGCTAATGCAAACGATCTCAAACATTCCATTATTTGAATTGTAATGTACGTCTATGTACTTTCGAGAGCTCTTATAACTGTCTTCGCAACTAAATGACTGTAAAGCTACATCCGACTCCCTACGTTCTTATCCGTAAGATAATACGTCGCTGGTCGTCCCAGCGATGGATTACCGGTCTTTCTCTCGACAAATTCAAACGGGGAAGACGGGGCGCACGCGATGGCAGAAACACATTAAGTAGCGAGTCGATTGGATAACAAACATTTTATCGCGTTTAATTTTGAGAGTGAGCGCCTCCTCGACGTTAAACTTTAACAGCTTCTTTGGCAATAAATAATATTATGCACGCGAGCGAGGAAGAGCCCGCGGGCGAGTTGAGCCGCGGGCAATTAAATAAAATGTGATACCGTTCGAGTTATGACGGGAATCTTTATAGCTTATGGCCGCGGCGTAACTCCTTAAATCCGGGGGGTATAAAGTAACTTCGCCGTTTATACGTCCATTTATACACGAAACGTGTATTCAACTTCTTGCACGTTGTCTCGAGGCGATTCCATTATAAACGCACTGAAATACGAACTCCAGAGCGCCTTTTATAAAATCTCGAGAGGAGGATCTTGAAATTCTGAAGGGAGTGAGAAAATCTGTAACGCAAATAAAACTAGAATACTAGTACGTAGTAGCAAATGAGAATCAATACAGTTTCCATTTGCAAAGCGTTGCAATGGCAATGGATTTTATCTCGTATAATCTCGTCGAGAAACTTTAAATCCAACAGGGTAACCAGCTTCTTGAGCCAATTTCCCCTGTAAAACCTCGATATCTAAGATTTACGCGCGACGCGTCAATTACAACGTGTTTTATTACAGCCACCGGAACGCAGCGCGATGCGTTACAACCCAACCGCCTTCGCGATTTCGCGACACACCCTCGAAATATTTTATGTCATAAAAATGTTATTAGGCTTCGAGTAAGAGGTATAGGGAGATCGATGTTTAAATAAGATGAAAAGTTCTTTTTATATATGCCCAAAACGCGTGTCGCGTAAAAGCGACTCGTTTCGTAAAAAGAATCTCTCAAAGACGGTACCGGAAATGGCGTACTTCTTCGTATCGAATGATCACTGAAAGATGCGTGTACCCTGGTACTTCACTCGTGTACAATGTCGCGCCTTAACTGCCCCTAAAAATTGTTTGTCTAGGCGACGCTTTAAAGACGCAGCTTATACGATCCATCCTGGCGCCGCTTTTAGCCGGTCCATCTCCCGCTCATTGCTATCATTGTTTAAAGATGGACTTTAAAGCACGGGATATTGCACAGCGATAAAGTTGTCCACGACGGAATGGAGATACGTGCGTGTATAAAAGATAGAACGTTTCCCTCCGTTCCTTAAATAATCTAACTTTTCTTTAAATAATTCAAGAGCTATTTTAGAATTTACGAGATCTAAATTTTGTCAGTATTTGCACAAGTATTTGTTAGAATATTGCATTCGCTCAGATTGGAATACGACCAGAGGTGCACTTGTTGTTGTTCCAACAACAACACTAACAACACCAACAACAACACCAACAACAACACCAACAACAACGCCAACAACACCAATACCAATAACACCAACACCAACACCAACAACAACAACAACAGGAACAGGAACAGGAACAGGAACAGGAACAGGAACAGGAACAGGCACAGGAACAGGAACAGGAACAGGAACACGAACACGAACAGGAACAGGAACTGGAACTGGAACTGGAACTGGAACAGGAACAGGAACAGGAACAGGAACTGGAACAGGAACAGGAACAGGAACAGGAACAGGAACTGGAACAGGAACAGGAACTGGAACAGGAACAGGAACTGGAACTGGAACTGGAACTGGAACTGGAACAGGAACTGGAACAGGAACAGGAACAGGAACAGGAACTGGAACAGGAACAGGAACAGGAACAGGAACAGGAACAGGAACAGGAACAGGAACAGGCACTGGAACAGGAACAGGAACAGGAACACGAACACGAACAGGAACAGGAACTGGAACTGGAACTGGAACAGGAACAGGAACACGAACAGGAACAGGAACAGAAACAGGAACAGGAACAGGAACAGGAACTGGAACTGGAACAGGAACTGGAACAGGAACAGGAACAGAAACAGGAACAGGAACAGGAACAGGAACAGGAACAAGAACAACAGGAACAGAAACAGGAACAGGAACAGGAACTGGAACTGGAACAGGAACAGGATTTGGAACTGGAACAGGAACAGGATTTGGAACAGGAACTGGAACTGGAACTGGAACAGGAACAGGAACTGGAACAGGAATAAGAACAGGAACAGGAACACGAACAGGAACAGGAACTGGAACTGAAACTAGAACAGGAACTGGAACAGGAACAGGAACAGGAACAGAAACAGGAACAAAAACAACAACAACAACAACAAAGACATTCCAGAATTTTGCGTTTGCAATAAGAACACTCGAGAGACCGCTCGCCGATAAAAAATCATGCTCTCGATCTGCAACATCGTACTCTATGAATTCTTAACCAATATTGCTTAATAACGAGGTCAAACCTTAAATGACGTTCGTGAAATTGGGTGAACGCGGAGAAATCTGCTATTCATGCAAGAGCTGCGCACAATGGCTTACATAATTCTTGGCGCCTTCTACAAGAGGGAATCAACTTGAGATTTTCCCAACGTCGTGAAAACTATCTCGTGAACCGGGAACACGTTTCTCTCCACGAATTTCTCATTAAACATTCGTCTCTCATTAAACCAGAGTGCGATCTAGAACTTTAATTCGGCGATGAGGAGTAATTAAGCGACGCGGTGGGAGGACGCGGGTGGTGAGGCACTTTGTTTCGCCGTAAACTGAGTTTAATGACTTCATGTAAAAATACCCCATCGGTTTTACGATGGCTCACCCCCCTTTCCACGGGGTCTTCGTTTTCCTCCTGGGGACGTCTCCTTCGTCTACGACCATAATTTTATAGTTTTATGTAAACTGTATCGAGCCATGAAGCACAGGCTTCTACGACGCTTTGATGGTGATTGGCGTGCACGATGAGATATATAGGATCCTCCGGAGGCTAGTGTTTCCCAAACGAAGAGGAAGGAATACATAAGCACGTGCTTTGTTGAAAGTATTGTTTAGAAAAAATACCAAATATAATTGCCTTACTTTTGCCACAACAATCATCAAACTTTTTGTTTTATTATTTACATAAGTTTAAAAATTTTGTTTGAATTGTTTTCAATGTTTACATTTCTTTGCCATAAGGATTTTTAACACCTAGATAAATATATATATTTTCTTTCTCTTAATATTAAGAACACACAAAAATGTTAATTTAATTTTTTTTATTTTAAAAGAATAATGGCTCTTGAAAATGTTTACAAGTGAAGCAGGTTTGTGTAACGTTATTTTATATATAACCGAATAATATAAAATTTTTAGTTATTTTCCTTATAAGTATTCTGACATATAATTCTTTGCCCTGCTATTTAAAGCTGTTATTGTTGTTGTTGTTATTATTATTATTATTATTATTAAGACTAAAACTGTATTATAAATAAGTGATAATTGTATCGTAACATGTTGCAATATCAGACCAAGTATCGAAATTTGTAGGATGAGATGGTATGAAGTATTATCTGCGAATGTTTTCATATTTCTCTCTGTTTCTCTTTATTTTTCCTTTCCTCTTTTTCTCTTTATATCTTTGTACATACTCGATAGCAAGAGATCAATAAGAGATAATAAACATTAAATTTTATTGCTCGTACACACAGAATTTTTATTTCTATTGCTTGAATTACTTCATTTAAGTAAGAATAAATAGAATTCTTAGCTACTTATGTTATTAATATTAGAAAAAAAATAATTAGACAAACTTTACATCTATTATAACAATGTTTTATCATTATGTTACTATATATTCTAATAATATATTTTATATATTATAAAAGTAGGAATATACAATATACATATTGATTTTTTAATTAAATACGTTATTTAATTATAATTATTTTGTATTTAAATAAATAGTAACGTGTGTTTGCGATCTTTTACAATTCCTGTAATATATACAATAAATGCAGTAATGGTTGAAATATCAATTTGAGCACGTTCGTCCCCAAGCCTTCGATAGCTCAGTTGGTAGAGCGGTGGACTGTAGTCGTTGTGTGTATAGGAATCCATAGGTCGCTGGTTCGAATCCGGCTCGAAGGAATTTTTTTTTGTTCTGAATTTTTTTAAATGTTTTCTTTTTGTGTTAACCCGAATTGTGTATGGCTCTAAACTTAAATGTTAATATAAATATAATAAATAAAGAAAGAAAAATATAGCTATAGTATTAAGTTACTAGTATATGGATGTATATATATAAGATTGCATTGACATATCTTTGAATAAAATTAAGCTATTATTTAATTAAATATGAATATACTTAATATTTTGCTCATCTAATTTTAAACTTTTAACAAGCAAAATGAAAATAGACTCTTCTTATAGTTTTCTCTTAATAAATATTAACTTGCTTAAAAGACTTACATTGAAATATTTGAGAAATTTTGTCAAATGCATTTTCAACCAACATAAAAAAAATTCTTATTGCAAAAATATAAGGTTCCACCGAGATTTGAACTCGGATCGCTGGATTCAGAGTCCAGAGTGCTAACCATTACACCATGGAACCTTTTATTATACAAGCTTTTATTAATGCTCCTATGTTGAATTCCTGTTATTTAAACTTTTAATAAAAATTTCGTCAATTTAGCAAAATTTTAAGGTTCCACCGAGATTTGAACTCGCTGGATTCAGAGTCCAGAGTGCTGACCATTACACCATGGAACCTCTGTTTACTACTCATTTGTATATATATATATATATTGTAAAATCGTAAATTTATTAACTTTTATGCAATAATAATTTTGTGCAAAAATGAAGGTTCCACCGAGATTTGAACTCGGATCGCTGGATTCAGAGTCCAGAGTGCTGACCATTACACCATGGAACCTTTACTTTTGTTGTTAATTTTGTTTTTGTATAACCGGTATATAATTAATATTTTTAATAAAAACTTTGAACCAAAATGAAGGTTCCGCCGAGACTTGAACTCGGATCGCTGGATTCAAAGTCCAGAGTGCTGACCATTACACCACGGAACCTCTGCTTACTGCTCATTTGTATATTGTAAAATTGTAAACTTTTGGCATTTATGCAATAATAATTTCATGCAAAAATGAAGGTTCCGCCGAGATTTGAACTCGGATCGCTGGATTCAAAGTCCAGAGTGCTGACCATTACACTACGGAACCTCTGTTTACTACTCATTTGTATATATTGTAAAATCGTAAATTTATTAACTTTTATGCAATAATAATTTTGTGCAAAAATGAAGGTTCCACCGAGATTTGAACTCGGATCGCTGGATTCAGAGTCCAGAGTGCTGACCATTACACCATGGAACCTTTACTTTTGTTGTTAATTTTGTTTTTGTATAACCGGTATATAATTAATATTTTTAATAAAAACTTTGAACCAAAATGAAGGTTCCGCCGAGACTTGAACTCGGATCGCTGGATTCAAAGTCCAGAGTGCTGACCATTACACTACGGAACCTCTGTTTACTGCTCATTTGTATGTTGTAAAGTTGTAAATTTATTGACTTTTATGCAATAATAATTTTGTGCAAAAATGAAAGGTTCCGCCGAGATTTGAACTCGGATCGCTGGATTCAAAGTCCAGAGTGCTGACCATTACACTACGGAACCTCTGTTTACTGCTCATTTGTATGTTGTAAAGTTGTAAATTTATTGACTTTTATGCAATAATAATTTTGTGCAAAAATGAAAGGTTCCGCCGAGATTTGAACTCGGATCGCTGGATTCAAAGTCCAGAGTGCTGACCATTACACCACGGAACCATCCTTTATTGCTCATTTGTATATTGTAAAGTTGTTATTTTTGTAATAATAATTATTTTTGCAAAAATAAAGGTTCTACCGAAATTTGAACTCGGATTGCTGAATTCAAACTCCAGAGTGTTGCATTACACCATAGAACTTCTTATTTATATCTTTGTTATTGACTGATTATTACGCATATTTTATCGAATCGTATAAATGTGGTGCAAAATATAATCTACTGATTTGAATTCAAATTTGAGTCAGAAATGGATTGGTACTATGAATTCTTGATCGGTGATGCTATTTCAGATTTATTACTTCAATATATATAGATATTGTATGTGTGTGAGTGTGTATTTAAAACATAATTATCAAGACACAAATATACAAAGTAAATGAATTAAACAGTTAACAGAAACAAACACAATTCTAATACAGCAAAATTATTTTGTTCATTTTCAAAATTATTTCTGCTACAACTGAGATCCATGTCCCTTAAACACTATTAAGAGTGGTCCAATTCTCCACGAAGGTTTCATAGTTCATGACCAGACGAAAACAATTAATCAGGAACGCACGCGTGCGGTCCTTTGGCCGACGGTCTTGCGGAAACCACTCAAATTAATTTCAAGTCACAGCATATTCTTCGATTTGACATGCTCTCGAGTGACGTCCAATCAGGGCCACCCCACACGCACGCGTGTACACAGCGTATACACAAAAACGACAGCCGACCCACCCCTCTTCGCTCGCGCGCGCAAACCGGAATTCGACAACACCCCCGAGATTCCATTTCTGTTATACTTTTCGTACAATACTTCTCCTTACGGTTCGCTGATCCTTGACTGACAGGATACCCGTGACACTTGCGTGCAGGACAATCGGGGGTACCATAAACGCAGCGTGCTGTAACGCACAGTGGGTCCACAGTAGGTGCGGCAACATCGTACGGGATGACAGCCGAGTGAGCAAGTGCCATTGTGAAATCACTTTTAGATTCGATTTCGGAGATGATTCAGAACGATGGTACGATGCGTCTCTCAAATCACTATGCGCTTTTTTTTTTATTTTCCGGAACCCCAATTATTAACGATACGATAAACGTGATGGAATCATGCTATGATATCATTTAACCTTATTGAGTTATTTATTTATATTGACAAACAATATATTAATTGTATCTATTAAATTATATATATCGTCGTTTATTATTGAAAACCCTAATTAAGTCTACTTTATTCTAATATCATACTATAGTTTAGTAAACTTTAATTTAATAACATAATTTTAATCTTAATTACATAATTACGTTAATAATTGATTTGAAATACAATGCTAAATTATTACAAATTGTACAAACTAAAATAAATAAATTATCTTTTACGATAAAATAAATAACTCTTTTTTTTTCATTAGAAAAGGATTTGATTGCTCTTTTTTCAATCAATATGTATAAGCAGGATGCTCGATTTATTTATATTTCATTCTATCTTACAACTTTATTTTCTCGCCACGTTTGCTCAGCTAGTCCTGCGCGCAATAATTCTCTAAGGGTAGTAC